GTTTGGAAAGAAACCTCTTTGTATAAGGCTTAAAGGTATTCCTAGCGTTTTTTTCTTTCTGTTGGGATCTTGCGCTAAATGTATGCTCCTCTCTGATAAGTCACATTTTTGTGATGATTTATGGCAGCCCTAAATAATGAACACAGGTGAGAAGTCGATTGTTCTTTGTTTGCAATTTAAAATCTCATATTAGAATGAAAATTTACTGTTGCAGGGATAACAAATGACCCTAAGGATCCATCTGTTGATACCTTTAGATCAACTACCTTGCCTATTTTGAAGCAGTTTGGAGTTCCTTCAGAAGGATTGGGATTGAAAGTGGAAAGCAGAGGAGTTGCTCCTAATGGGGGTGGAGAAGTAATTTTGTCAGTCCCCATTGTTCAGGACAGTTTAAAAGTGAGTTTGGTTCTTTAGGTTGCCTCATTTCTTTATTTTTTAGGAAACAATGGAAGGGTGGAGCCACTCTTACTGCATGAGTTTCCCATAAGTTTAACCTCTTAAGATTGTTTTTCAGGCAGTCATATGGACTGATGAGGGATTGGTGAAGAGAATACGAGGTGTTTCCTTTTCTGCCAGAGTGTCTGTGCAGTTTGAAAATACCATGATACATGCAGCTCGCGGTGTATTGAATCCGCTACTTGCTGACATTCATATATTCACCGACCATAAAGCTGGTCCACAGGCTGGAGGGTATATTCACCTTTCTTCTCTACGTGTTGGGCTTTAAAAGATTTGAATGACTTATTTGGCATCTATGAATGACCTGAAACTGGAATTACCCGTGCTGATGTCATCCAATGCATTTTGTGTTAAATTCAGGTCACCTGGCTATGGAATTTCTCTTGTTGCAGAAACCACTGCTGGTTGCTTCATCTCAGCTGACACTGCAGTATCTTATGCTAGAGGTGAAGAAGATACTGACATTGGAGATTATAAAGATAGCCCTGAGTTAACTCCTCCTGTGGATGTTGGCGAGCAAATTGCTTCTGCGCTACTGAAGGAGATTGAACAGGGAGGTGTAGTAGATTCCACGCACCAGGTATTTACTGTAGTATGTAATTAACTGCCGCTCCTCTTTATATTTTGATTTTTTAATCTCACTTCAGTTACACCTCTGTTCAACGTCACGATTAGATATAAGACCAAACTCTTGTCTTGTTTCATACGAGCTCCGTAAATATTCACGCAATTTAACTGGGTGAACAGATTACGAAAAATAAACCAGGTGTAGTTTTGGTACAGATCAAAAAGGTGTTGGATTATTTCAAGGTTCGAAATTGCGTATTGCGTAGTCGTGCCGTTTTTTGAATATTGCATATTGCGTAAGCCTCATTGCGCAACGAGGCGTATGTCTGAGGCGTAATACACACACATATAAACATAATAAAAAATAAACATAGAATAAAGGTATGAGAATTTAAATTAATTAGAATAAGAGGCCATAGTCCTAGCAAAGTAATATGTTCAAACTTCAAAGTACCATAGAATACCAAAACTTTCTGAATCGTTTATAAAAAAATCTAAGATATGAGAATTTTAATTAATTAGATTGATCGACTGAAAAAATCCAATCAATAACTAGTGGTTTGAAATAGGGATCATAACATCAATTATAAAATTTTAAAAGTGGCCCGGGTGGACCCAAATAATACCCTTACCCTCTAACCTTCTCCTATTGCGTACGCCTCATAGCGCCTTATTGCGTACGCCTCAGTGCAATATTGCGTACGCCACACTCCCAACGCCATATGCAATGCCTTTTATGCCATAGTCTAGGAATTAGCTGAGGCGTGCCATGAGGCGCAATTGCATTGCGCAATTACAAACAATGGATTATTTAGGGAAATGAATATTAATATATTAATTTTTCGATTGCGAGTATCACAACAGTCCCTAGAAGTTAGTAAGATGAATCCAAATCAGCTGAACTTGAAATCCGTTGGTCTAGGATGTCATTTGATATTCTTCATGTGCAACGCATTGATTGCCTCTACCATGTTGGATTTGGTGGCATGAAAATTACAATGTCAGTTAGTTGCCTAAAATTAATACGAAGTTCATGCCCACAATAAAAAAATAGTGACTAAGTTTTGCACTGAATACCCTTTATGCCTTAATCTTGTTTTCCCTAACCTTGTTTTCAAAACATAATGAGATGAAACTTCAAAGCTGTCATCATTACACTTCTCCACTTGCTTGGAAAATATGATATTGTAATGAATTGGCTCTTAGGGTCATGTCACATAATCTGTAGTCATTAGTCAGTGTGCAAATAATAGACATGACCTCGCCATGTACTCCGTATCATGTTAGCATAACAAGATCATTTGTATTGATGATGTGTACACTTATGATACATAATATAGGCTAAGCCAGCTACAATCAGGATTAGCATTGGACATTCTAATCATCATATAAACAAAAACAATCACACCATCAAATCTGCTTCTAGATTTCTGTGTGGGTAGGACAATGAGTTCGGTATGTTCTATATTTTCTCAACAATTGGAAGTCCCTTTTTTTGCTTCACAGGGTCTGCTGTTTCTTCTTTGTGCCATGTGCCCACAAGATGTTTCTAAAGTTCGTGTTGGTAAACTTTCGCCTTATGCAATAGAGGCTTTGCGGCACATCAAAGATTTCTTGGGGGTTAAATTTGTTATTAACCCTGATTCAGCATCTGGGACTGTCATACTTAAGTGTGTTGGATCTGGATTGAAGAATATCTCTAGGAAGTTATCGTGATGACCAATACCATTCATTCATGCCCAAATGATTTTGTATTCCTGGAAAAACGAAGGCACTATTGTGAAGTCCAGACTAGGCCTTCAATGTGTAAGAGCATCCAATTTTGTAGCATTGCATAGTCCGAGCTGCGTTCTAAAGTCAAGCCAATTATATTATTCCCCTTTTCAGCCTCAAATTTGACTTGTGTGTTAATTAATCATCTCTGCGTTCTAAAGTTATCAAGAATTTATTTCATTTTCTGGCTCAGTAAAAAGTTGTAATGCTCATTTTCAGCCTTAATTCTCGCAAGTATTGTAAAACAAAAACTTATTTTCACCATGTTTTTGTACTATGTGATAAAAAAGCAAATAACCATCTAAGCTAAATGGTGTTATTTCCTCCGAAATGATAACTTACGACCTTTGTCATGGATTGAATTTTTCGTGTAGATTGTGTTGGTATGATATGTTTGGGTTTGCTTTCATATTAATATGGATGTGGTTTTATATGAATTTGATTAACTTAATGAATATGTGCTCATAATTAAGTAAGACGGAGTATATTACTACATCCATTCTAAAATATTCTCATTGATGACTATTGTTTAGGCCATCAATTTGGCGTTAATTATTAAACTTCTATTATATTCAAACTGGTTTTTATGGTACCATAGACTTGATGTTTTTATTTTCTAAAAATGTTTGTTTTAAATATTACTACCATAGACTTGAAATGGATACATGTTTTGGGGATGCATATACTCCATCCAAAATAGGTTAACATTTTGGTGATATAAATCAAAACAAAGTATTCTAATGTATTTTCATGTTATAAATTATACTACCTGGTTTCATACTTTCATTATTTCATGTCAAGGTTTCCATAGCAAAAGAAACAAATTTGTAGGTAAGTAATTCATAGAGTAGTTTGAGCGCAAATATGAGAAAAAAGAAATTAGAGAAGGGAAAGAACTAAAGTTGATAGTTGGGTTTGTAGACATGAAAAGATGGAGTAATTAATGGATAATAGTGTTTTTATGATTTATGAGCACTAATTTTGAAGGAGGACTTTTCAAAATTAAGAATATGTTTGGCTATCAATTAAGAACATGAAAGATAAAATATATCGATTTACAACTCGAATGATTGAAAACTTATAGATGATTTATCGCTAAATATAGACCTTGAATTATTTATTTATTTTATTGCTAATTATTGATGATTTGTTTATCACAAAAGTTAAGTACTTTAATAAAATTAAATAATATGTAGTATTTCAATTACTTTTGAAAAGTAAAATTAAAATTCATGATGTTTTAAATTTTAAATTAATAGTTAGATTATTCAACATTGACGGTTTTATCTTTCAGATCCTTATTTGATAGTTAGTCTATATTTAAGCTCAAAAGTAACAACATAAATATGTCCTAGACCGGTCGAAACCGGAATTGATCGTGACTAGAAATTGAGGTCCAAGACTCCCAGTTCCCATTTTTCTCACCACAGACTGTTCAGTTCAGTACCAGAACTGGCCAGAGCTGAATCGGACTGTGGTATAGGGTACCGAAAAATGCAATATTTGCATTATTGTGTACAAAATGTGTGCATACTCAAATAAAATGTGCATGACACCAGAAGTGTGATGGTAGTCCCGTAAATACCATACTTAAAGTCTTATTTAATCAACACATTATGTACTTTAAATTTTTATATATCTATGATTACAATTTACAACACCGTGTATCTTGATAAAAGTCTAGATTTATTTGCATTTTCATTATTAACTAGCTTTCACTTAAATATCTCTCTAGTTTTTACTTCAGTTATGACAATTAGTTTTAAATTAACATGTACTCCGTAGTGAATGAATTTAAATTTAATTGACCTCGTGAATAGAAATATGATTATGGTTTATAAGAGAAGAAATTACATTTAAATTTAATTGAACTCATTGAGTAAACCTTACCCCTTCCCAGCGTCAAGTGCATGGTGGCCTCACAAACTTGGGTTCCAACTTTTTTGTATGCTTTTGTATACAAAGTAAAGCCCCCCCCCCCCCCCCCCCCCCCCCCCACATTACCACAAATTGATTCATCCCCAGTTGTGCAGCTCACATGAAAGCAACAAGTTGTTTAAAAAAAAGAAAAGGCAAATTTTAAGCTCACAAAATACAGACTTTGTACACTCACCCCAGTGTCTCTTGTGATCTTCCTTGTCAACATTATTGTTGTTATTACATGTGATTTTCAACCTCAAAAGTCAGATGATGAAGTGAACATCAATGAATACAACACTCTCTCTTTATTTCTCTTCCTATAAATACAACATCTCTTCCTCTCACCATATCACTCATCATCCACATATTTTAGATACATTAAAATATGTATTCTTCGTCTCATAACATGAAAATATACTCGGTTTTCTTCACTGTCATTCTACTCACACAGGTACATAATCTTCATTGGAAATGCATTCTTCTTTTGGGTCTGTTTAGAAATCCAAAATTAATTGGGAGAGAATATAGGAAAAAGTAGATGTGAAAATAAGAAGTAAAGATGATTTCGGTAAGTGGCGGAGTACTCATGGAGGAGTCAGAGGGATCCTCGATCCCGAAAAGAAGTTCTCACTTTCCTTTTATGGATGTTCCAAAAAGAAATTCTCATTTCTATAAAAAGAAACTACTTTTAATCCAAAGGTCACAATTATCCCTATTTTGCTCAATTTTTGCTTGATTTGACGTAAAGTATATAAGGGTATACTCGGAAAATCAAAACAAAATTTTATCTTAATAAATATGTGTAGGTCAAACTGGAACTTCATTTCAGGACGGAGGGAGTATAAACTATAAAAATATAATTAAGTACAAACATCTGTCACCCCCTAATACTAATTCTCTAGCTCTGCCACTTAACGTCATAAGTACTGAACTCGGTAAATTTATTTTGGTTAGCTATTCAAACCTATTGTATTCATTTACTTATTTGTACCCCTTATTATATGAAAAAATGTAAAATAATTCATCACATTTTTATTTTTTTGTTTGCAATTTCGAAGGTTTAGCCAACATAAACAAATAAACATCCCTTAGTTTTCAAAGTACACATCTTCAAATTTTTATGATAAAAACTGGCATTGCATGTAATGATGTAATATCACATTTAATAATATATAATATCGTACTGGTGTCATATTATATACAATGAACTTTTGGTGATATATACATTGATTAATTCATGGAAATCAATTAATTAATACAAGCTCAAATTAAAAGGGTGCCTACGCTGCTTTTATTCGGTTTGTAAACTAAATAGTAATTCCCATTTTTATATACCTTTTTAGACTAATTAGTTGATTTTTATAACATGCTTAGGCTTTAGGGGAGGCTTTGCACTTGGACGACACTGATAATTCCGCGACTCAAGTAAGAACTTCATGTTCTCTGTACTCTGTTGACTAATTGTGCATTACTGCTCTCACTAATTAAGTTACCTTTTTTGTTGTTGCAAACACTGTTTAAAAAACATTTTAGGCGTCCTACTAGTCCCCTTCTAAGCGCTAGATGGTGGCCGGACGCTCCGATTTTCGTCTAGGCGTCCCGAATAATTGGCTTGCTGTCTAAGTGAATTAGTCAGCGCCACCTATTGGGCCTAGTTGCCTGCCCAGAGCACCTAATCCGTCGCCCAGACCGTCTAGATTCGCCAAACAATACTTACTTTTTAATTTTAATATTCTAAGGGATATAATTAAGTATTTTAACTTTAGCCACGGATAAAAAGAAATGAAGTTGTAAATTAAGATAAAAACTACATATGTTTGTATATATACCTAAATTTTATTATTATTTATTTTTATAATATAATGAAGTTAAATGATTAGTTATCATATACTGATATACTACATATGATTAAATGTGATAATTCTATCATTTATGTTTGCTAATGTATGTGTGTGTGTATATATATAATTATACCCTCAAAATTACAATATTACTTATCATATTTATGACAAAATATTGACAAAAATACATTTTCTATGTCTCCGATTAGTCCTCGACTAAGCGCCCGCCTAGCAGTCTAGGCCCTAGGTGCTGGACTGGCACCCGACTAGTGCCTAACGCCTTTTAGAACATTGATTGCAAATAGCTATGATATGGAACACACCTATGAAGGATTTTTGCGAATATAATCCGAGTGTTAGTAACTGTTATATTATGTAATATTTGGGTACTAAGATTTACAGTTTTGTTTATGATTTATTATTTAATTGCTTTCTGTTTTCATTGTTTTTCTGGCTCAATTTTTTGGGTAACCAGGTAAATGAAGTCATCACGGGAGACCTTCAACAAAGCAGCCATCCTCCTCCAACAATAAGTATACTTTTCAACCTTTTATAAATAATCCATTAACGTGATATATGCAATAGTTTGATACTCACAGTTTTTATCAGGGGCTTTGAAACTTAATATATTTCCCCTTCAAATTTTCTTTCATGTATATAGTTTTCTCTAACCTTTTTGAGGCTAGAAAAGGACTTGATTTACTTATTTTTTTCTAGATATACAGATGTGCATATTATACAAAATTTAAATGTATATGCATATTATATTGTTTAGTGAGGTCATGTTTTTTTTATCCCTATTACATAAGTTACATTTTAGTAAGGTCATGATATAGAATAGAATAGACAAGCAAAATTTAGCCTAAGAGACCAAGGTGTAATCAGAAACATAAATTGCGCAGATTGTGGTTATGCATGCTCAAGAAGATGTAGGGAAGCGTCAAGACAGAAAATGTGCAACAGGGCATGCAAGACCTGCTGCCAGAGATGCAATTGCGTCCCCCCCGGAACTTACGGCAATCACCAACTTTGCCCGTGCTATGCCCTCCTTAAGACTCATCACAACCGCCCCAAGTGCCCATAATTACTTCTTATATGATCTACTTGTGCTACACACAACACACACATGTCGAATCCATCTCAAATAAGATATACTGTCGTATTTTCCAAAAAGATCATTGAAGTTATCAATTCAAGTTGGGTTATATGAGCTTCAATGAAGGGGTCAGTTTGGTATGTTACATATTGTGTCAACATATGTATACTTTTAATAAAAGAATCATTTCCATATTGTGATATTGTATTTGTAATAAGGTATTCACATACAGAAGATGCTTTGTATTTTTTCAATGTAATTGTGACTTGAAACTGTGTTTGTATTTTGCTTTAACTTTTTGTGTTTCTGAAATTGAAATTTAGCCCAGCACCTTGTAGGCTTGTAGAGGTCATAGGTTTGAATCACATTACAACCATACTTGACAATATTATTGAACATATACTATATCTAGGTTACAATGTATGTACTCCAAAATGGTAAACACTTCACTAATCTCATAAAAATTACTCGCGAACAAGAGTGGTGCAAAAAGAGCATAAACAAACACACATATCTACAGATTGAAATGATATTATGATAGATGATAAGAGTGATCGATCAAGCTAATTAAAACCTGGACCAACAGCGTGTACATTTGGCGACACAATCTCCCTTGCAGTCAACATTGAAACCCAACACCTTGGGGTTGCGAAGGAGGAGGTTTCTTAGAGATTTACCTTCAATCCCCCATTGCTTTGCCAAAACTTGCACATTGTTCTTCATTTCTTTTTCAAGTCTACATCCAAGAACCTCCGGAAACTTCTTAAGAACTTTGCAGATGTCATCATCGGTGAGGTTCAAATTCATCCTTAGGTAATTTAAGGTTTCATTCACGGCTTCAAGTCGTGGAATCTCTTTCTTCTGTTCGTCGTACCAATATGGTGTATGGATATGTCCAAATGCTTTTCCAAGTATATTGTCTTCTTCCTCAGCACTGAATTTGAATGACGAGAAAGCTTGTCTGCAAGAATCCCACTCTTTCTTTTCCTCATCATTGAACAACAAGTCATGATTCAGATGATCAATTGAATGCATCTTCCATTTCTTGGATTTAACGCACCCACCAAGTATGCTCGGAGCTGCTCTTGCGCTAACCAAATAACCATGCTGCCATACAAAAAACCAAAAGTTCATTTAAGAACTCAATATAAAGTTGTTAAGAATTGGTAGCAAGCAAATAAAAAAGTTTAGTATAAAGTGTAGGCAGTCTGTTTCCCTCTTGTGGTTCAAACTTCAATGTTGGAGTGAATTTGCACAGAAGTTAGCTAATAAAATAAGCTTGCAATTTAATATTTATTCACTTACAAAAAGTACAGCGCAAACTCAATAAAAAAAGAAAAAATAGTTGGCATAAAAAGTTCAAGTGTTCAACCAAAAATTTGAAGACCTAAAATGCAACATATAGTTAGGAAACGAGTTACAGTCAAATTGAAATTTAGAAAATGAGAGGTAATTCAACGGGATGGAGAAAAAAGAAATCAGACTCACCAAAGGAATGAAGATTGATATATGATTACATGTCCCTGATCCAAGCATCCCTAACTACCTAAAGATAAGGGTTAAATGCATAGTTATGAATGGGTCTTAGAGATGTATAATAAGAAGCCAAAGTGTGATGATATCCCTTTAGTATGTTCTCCCAAAACTAGTAATTACTAGAAATAAGAAGGAAATCCAAAGTAAAACTGTCATATAGTAAAATTTATCAGTGATCTAACATTAACTGTGCCGAAGAGTGAAAGGTTAATTATTAGAGTGGGATACATGAAATAAAAGGTTAGATCACCATATTTTGAATAGTATGTTTCCCTATGTTTTATCCAGGGCCGGCCCTGAAAAATTGAGGGCCCCGTTCAAAATAAAAATCATAGGCCCTAATATTTAATACAAAAAAACTAATAATAAAATAAAAAGTAATATCAAATTTTATAACAATACTTCATACTAAAATGCAATTTACTTATTGATGTAAGAAACCAAGAGCATTAATAAAGTCTGGAAATTAATTTTAAACTACATTTATTTAAACAATGCTAGACCATCTCCAAAAATAAACAATGTTATACGTCTAAGATTCTGTTAAATAAAGCCTTCTATAATGTCTTGATATGAAATTCACTCCCATCTTTAGACTGCTCTCATTTGCAACTAAATGCAATCCATTAAAAATATCTTTTGTAATTAAAATTTTCAAAAGCTCCCTTTCGAAATAAAATCAGCAGCTCTTAGTTTTCTTCTCCTTATGTTTTTCATATCCAAAGTTCATATTTTCTGATTCTAGGAGAAACTATAAATTTCTAAATTATAATTTATAAGATGTAGAAGAATCCAAAATTAACAATTAAAAAATATTGATACAATCAATTAAAGGAAAAGGTTAGAACAAAGACACATCAAACGGCTGGTAGTCTGAAACACAATGAACGAAGAATGAATTCGCCGACCAGAAGCTATCCTTTGGCCCTCACTTCTGGAAACTGGAATCTGGCCGGCAGCAGCTTGGCTAGTTTCCTACGCGCTTCTCAAGTCGCAGGTCTCAGGCTCTCAACCACGCAGGTCCGATCCCCTGCTGTCTGTGGAAACCTAAACTGGACGCTTACTGCTCTCAGGCTTTTGGGTTTCTCTATTTTAATTTGGACTTGGGCTGCTGCTACTCCCTACTACTACTACTACTACTGCTAGGGATCATAGTGACCTAGTTGATTGCAGAGGCTAGACTCCTCCCCACTGAGCAAAAGGAGCTATTGTTTTGACGCGTAACTCCCACACAGGCACACAAGCACCATATGATTGAACCTTTGATTGTAGTTCCACATTTACAGCTCTAAAACCAACCAAGCTACCCATGTGGGAAAAACTAGTTTTAACAAGATTCGAACTCCTATGGTTCGGGAGACAATGCAAAATCCTAACCACTCGCCCATAGCAGTCTGCTTTACCCTCAGAATGGGTGGTTTTAGTACTTGAACAACTCATTATGTAAGAATGTAGACTTGTAAGAACTTTTTTACTCAACACCCATTCACAATTTTATACTCCAAGAGTCCAACTGGGTTACTCAAAATTTGGAGTGATCTTAAGGCTGTAACAACATATCTCCAATAAGACTAAGAAAATACATTAATAAATGAAAATTGAATAGGGGAAACCATACTTCCTAAACAAGTAGCAGTAGGGGTTTGAGATATAGCAGATTTAGGTGAGGTTCCTCTAGTCCATAACGGGGTGTCACTAACGGACTAACCAATCCTAGTGAGTGGGGATCCGGCCGACCAATCTCGTCATTACCAGTAGATACCTAAATCCTTCCCCACATGAAAAAAGAGAAATGAATAATTCGTAATTGATCCAATTCAATTCAATGTAAGTTCAATCAGCAGTTACATTAACAAAAGGCATAAAGTGATTCAACCAATTTTACAGATTTATGAACAGAGAAGCTCCAGATAGAAATAAAACTAACAAAGTACCTCCTGGTATATACGTACCGCGTATATAGAAAGCTGAAGCTCCTAGCCTGCTAAGTTGAGTGGGTGTAGGGGGAAAGCAAGATATTGAAACTAATCTTGTATTCGTTTATTGAATCTTGTTTTTGGGCTTACAGCCCCCTAAATTTTGATAATTTTAGATTTTGCGAGCTAAATTGTGTAATAGCAAGAAAAAATAAAATTGAAGATATTTTTCTGACTGTATTGCATGAAGTTATTGTAGATGATCATTTTTAATTGTTTTTTAAATATTTTTTTTTATTTTATTAATAGAATATATTTTAAATATAATTTTTCATAAATTGTAGTAGAATCAGCCAATACAGTTGATTTAAGTATCATCAAACATGATCTTAAACTTTTATCATTAGATCATCTCCATCCAACAATATTTAAATTATTTCAAAACTAAATACATATATATTGCTCTGTCCCATAAAATTCTTTGTGTTTTGACTTGGATGGATGTTTAAGAAAATGATAATAAAGTGAAAATGTATGATTGTAGTTGAGTAAGAAAAAAGTAAATGAATATTAGCCACACATAACTTTCCAAAAAGGAAAATTGAAAAAAAAAATTGGGACATCCAAAAAAGTAAGTGAGAAGAAATTAATAGAACAGAGGGATCGAGTAATACTCCATTTTCCCTCAAAAAGTGTATGATTGGGATTTGTATAGAGCTTTGTTAGTATTATACGGTTCATGAATAATACAGTAATACGTATATTTGTGTATAATGCGATACAATTATATAAAATATGGCTAAATATACATTTCATACGCTCGTGAAATGGATAAAGATGCAGACTTGTTTTAAACGTTTCACAATTTAAAAATACCGCATATATTATGTGTCTTATATATTGATTTAATTATATAAATAAAGAGTAACTTAACATATACACCACATTCTTCAACAGTTTAAACTATAATGTACAATATAGTTTTTTAGATATATGAATTTGAGTTCGTAGGTACAATAAGTAATAAAAATGACGTTGCCTATTTGAATAGAAGTAGAGAAATATTACTAGAGAATAGTTGATATTACTGTGACCGTGAATTTGGAGCTCATTTATTAAATTTAATGACTATTAAACAATTAACTTATATGCATATAGTAATTGTTAAGCAATATGAATACTATTGAGCAGCTATGCATTTTGCTTCAATTGTATATACGATAGTATAACTCTATTAGACTTCCATTTAATGGTGTTTTTTTCAATAAAATACGTATCAATTCGTACGATACGTGCATTATACATTTTATCCTTAAATTAAGTGAATTTAATTCATAAACAAGATTATTATATTTGAATTATACGTTTGAGTGTATTATACGTGAATTATACGCGAATAAAATGACATAAGAGGAGAGAAATAATAAAAAGCACAGATTTATTAATTAAAAAAGAAAATGATAATGTTTTTGAACAATCAAAAAGGAAAGTTTCACCCTGTTCACTTAGGGGGGGTGTATTCATTTTAGACATTTTAAGACATGTTGTGATTTCTGAAATCTGGGTGTATTTAAACAAGACATTTCAAGACATTTTATAAATCCCAAAATGTCTAGGTGTATTCATATTGGAGTGAGACATGGATTTTATTTTAGAACTTGGGACTTATCTAGACTTACAAGCCCAAATACAAGCTGAAATCTCATCCCCAAATCTCACCCCCATACATGAGATTTGAAATCCATCTGCGAGTCATGAAGAAGAGCCTAGGACGCGGAGGAGTTTGGGAAATCAAGAACAGCTCCATCAATCTAGGGTTAGTACATATTTCTTCACCATCTAGCTGTGAAAGTGTTATGATTTTTCATCCTTTTCTTCGGTCCGGAAAATTTGTGTATACATGCAGCTAATTTTCCATCATTTTCTTCTCTTCTTCCTCTTGTCTGCTTCGATCCCAATTAGTGCCTAAACAAATACAGTGTATAAATCTTCCGCTTCTGCTAGGGATAAAGCTTCTAAAATTCCATATTTCCATTGCACTACGCTTGGGAGAGTTTTTCCACACAAATCTTGAAATTTTTTACATAAAAATCCACATCATTCTAGAGAAATCCATATAAATCTACTAAAATCTCATTTTGTCCCAAATCTTAAAAAGTCTCAATAAGTCTCAAATGAATACACCCCCTTAAACTCCAGTGAAACTCCGGCGAACTTTATTGAACTTCGACGATACCACCGACAACAATCTCTACTTCGTGAGAGCACTAGGAACACCTTAGACAATTTCCCAATAAGGTTTTAACATCCCAAAACCCATATAAATACAAATAACCTTAAAAAGGTTATTTTCCGGTGAACCGGTCACCTTGGCTTCTAAGTCCATTCTTGGACTTAGAAGTGAGTTATAAATACCTTTCAACCCCTTATTCTACACTTCTAAACATGTAGAATAATCTTGGTGGTCCTCTATATGATGTACAAGTCATATGAGAATCAAATGAGGAAAGAAAATATGTTAAAGCGGTTCTCACCTTTATTCTCAAGGTTTTCTCTCCTTTTCTCTATTCTTCCTTCTTCTTTGGGCCTCCTCCAAGCTTGAACTTCCATATAGCTATGGAGGATGATACTTTCAGAGCTTCTTCCCTTGCTTGAGAGTGTTTGGTCGAAATTGGGAGAGAGAGAGAGGGGAGTAGGAATGATCCTTTTGTCTCATTATTCAAATGAGTGTGAATAGGAAGTCCACCTCATGCCTCCTCTACACTCAAAACATCTCCTCAGCCCACTCTCACCACTCATCTATGCCTTGCAGCTCATCTTTGTCAACTTGAGAGCCTAAAAACGTGGGGTGGGTCCCACTCATGTGGGAGGTCATTCCAAAATAGAACTGTTGTGTTTTTCTGCCCGAAATAAGAGTCATTTTGCCATAACTGATGATAGAGTAATTATCTAGAGAGAATGAGAGCTGGAGAGAGAAGTGCAGTAAATGCTTTCAATAAATGATTTCTGAACCCCCTACAACTACCCCCAAGAGGAGTATTTATAGGGAAAATGCGGGCTGGGCTCCTAAGTCTTGGGCTTGGGAGGCCCATTTACAATGGGGCCACTATTGATCCGAGTACGGAGTATGTAAAAATAGCTAAGTATAAAATCTTGTTCTGTGAGCTCTCCGTGGCCGACGAGGGTCTGGCCGACGGAGGCATGGCCGATGGAGACCTGGCCTACGGTGACACCCGGTTCTCCTGGTCTCTGAATCATATTCTGTGTTGACTTCTTTGTAGCCGATGGGGGGCCATCTGGCCGACGGAGGTCCCACTGGGTGCCAGCTGTGCCTCTTATTCTTCTGAGTATGTGGGTCTTGGGGCTTGGACTCATATACTCCATCAGGAGTCTCCCACTCTCTAAGCTGAGCTGCAGACGAAGTGGAGGAGAGTACGTTCCTGCAGTTTTGATGTTTTAGGCCGACACAGGGGCGCTGTGGTTATTCTCTGTTTGGCCGTTGTGGACGAAGGAGGCGTTTGTCCAGCTGACGGTGCGTGCTTGTTTGTTTGAGGACGATGAGCGTTCTGGCTTAGTGGTCGATATGTGTCTTTGATTTAAGTAGCCGGTGAGGGTGATGTTTCCTCTCTTTGGCCGTTGCTAGTTTCCTTTTGTGTTTTTGGCCGATGGGGGTACCCTGGTTGCTTTCAGTGCTCCAGGCCGAGGTGAGATTCTTCGTGGTTTGGTGTTTATGGCTTTGAGGACGTTTTGTGTCCTGAGTTTTTATGGATTTTCAATTTCATTCTTGCTTGCGTTTTGAGGTTGGTGTAGTCCCCCAGTCCCCCATTGCTTCAGGGTGAAGATGAGTGAGGGGTGAAGGAGTAAAATAAAATCCCCAGGCCGAAGCGGGATCCTCGTACTTCCCATGAATCCAACCCCTTGGCGATTCGTGACAGTGGCTATGGCGTCCTGTCAAAGATGTTGGCGTTCTCTGGAGAAGAGGAGAAGTACCTTTTGTAAGAACGGAAGGTGTGGGTGTGCACCAGATGAAGCGGAGAAACACTGAGGCTGATACAGATAGAAGTGAAATCGGAGAAATTAGAGAAGAAAAGAGAGCTGCAATAGAGACTCCAACTTAGGGAGAAGTCTTGTGTTGAGTTTTCTGTGAGATAGAGCCCTAATTTCCCTCACTCAAAGAATAAGCGAGCCTCATTTCGGAAGAATAGCCAGGGAATCAGTATTTACGCAAATGTTCCTATTCACGAGCGGGAAACAGAATTAAGTGAATTAATATATACTTCCTCCGTCTCTTTTTAGTTGCAACATTCCCTTTTTCACGTTTGCCATCGCATAACTTTGACCGTCATTATATTTAATTCCGTATTAGTAAAAATAAAATAAAATCAGATTATAAAACTTAGTAATGAGAAGAATTTAACAATATTTTTCAAAAAACATTATTCACATACATTAAGAAATAAAATGTAGTCAAAGTAGAGTACATGAATAGTGTATATATTCCAATGTTGCAACTAATGCGATACGGAGGATAGTATATATATATATATCAGAGAAGATAATTTTCAATAATTATTTAATTGACAATTTGTTTAAATTTACATGTATTTATTCTATATCTTTATCTAATACTACCAATCTTAACTATTTTGCTTAATTTTCTTAACTGTGCATCGCACGGGTGAAATACTAGTTCTACCAAACTCAAACCAAATTGCATATGATCAAGTTCCGATTCGGTTTGATATTGTTAGGTTCCATTAAACCAAACCTATATGTCCACGGTCCACCCCATCTTAGTTGATCGTGTGATTTAACTAAACACATTTATACTTTAATTTACATGTAGTATAATATTAGTGGGCGGAGGTAAGAGCTTTTAAATTGAAAATGTTAAAATAAGACACTAGAGTAGAAAAGCTAAACCTCATGAATGCGATTTTGAAAACATATGAAATACTGGTTAGAAAAATAAAGGGTCATATATATATATATATATATATATGACCCTTTATATATATATATATATATATATATATATATACTACGTAAAAAACTAAAAAAAATGATGTGATAGTTGAGCTCGATCGCATGCAAGAATTTCCTACCAAATTTACCTGTGAGTATCACCATTAACACGTACCGGTAACTTACCATAT